CCGACGCCACTAGATGTTTGTTATACGAACCTCGCACCAACTATAGGTGTGTGTGTGTGTGTTTGTAATGGCGGCCATTGTGTTTGGCTGACCCAGACGATGTGTCACGCAGAGTAACAATAGCATCAGCAGAGAAGACGGTAGGGAGGAGAGGGGGATTGTTTGCGTCCAGTTGTGAAATTGTTTGGGTGATGAAACAGCACGGTGAGGGCGTAGCACGATGTGAGGACAACGTTCACGCTGAGCTTTGCTCTCCCCACCACCTGGTAGCAATGTCCTCAGCGTCAATTCCACTTGGCCGAACATTGTGTGGTCAATACAGAGGGCAATATGCATCCACTGTCTTGGATTAAGTGCCAGCGAGCCGCCTCGATGACGCCGAACTTGTGTTCATTGCTGAATTCGGAGAGTGTGGCGATATGCACTATGATGAGGCAATGGCAGTCGAGTGTTTCACTCTACCAGAATATGATCTGAGAAGCAGGTGAGGAAGGAGGCTGCCTTCTCACTTCACTCCTTCCTTCTCCCTTCAAACCATACTTCTGTTTCGACGTATGTGTATGAGTGCGTGTTGAAAGGTTCCCCACAGGGAGTAGCAAATGTTGAACATTCTAGTAGGTTGTCCACAGTCTATGCATTGCACGTAGTCGTTATCTCATAAGGTGGTCCTAATGCGGCACCTTGTCACAGCGACCCAATGGTAGAGGACGCTGCAATGTTGGGAAGAGTGGAGGTGGGTGCAACGGAGTGAGAGCGTGTGCTGTTTAAGGTCGACTCTACACCTGTCACCGTAAAGGGTATTAGGAGGAGACAGAGAGCATCCAAAATGCTTTCGGCAGAGAGGAGGTCCGTTCTTGCGATGGTGGAGACCAATCACTTTCATGACTCACCACTGACTATCAGTATTCTTGCGCGACTGCGACTCAATCCGCACACGTCATTGTGTGCGCTCTGAGAGGCAGCACAAGGATCTCCATTACAACCTGGCATCCAATCCCACATTACGTCTCGGATCTTCGCGATCCTCACGTGTCCCACCCTCCACAATCCCCACTCACCTCCCTACACAGGCCTACGTCGTGAGTCGAAAAACAGTGTGCTGCCTTCAACTCCAAATTTTACATCTCCTCCTCCTCCACCTCCTCCTCCTTCTTCTTCTTCTTCTTCTTCTTATTCTTCTTCTTTGCCACCTCCTACTTCGCCTCCGCTTCCGTATTCCTTCTATTGGACATGGCTCAGGCTTCGCCTTCTGACCTCAGTGACTCCAATATCCGCAACGTCGCAAACACTCAGCATCATATGGACTTACAGTGCGTCTCCCTCGCACGCTCATTCTACTCCCTATTGTCTGTGCTGTCAACTTGAGGTCCCCTCATCCACTTCCTTTATCACTTTCCCCTCAACATATATCATAAGACGACTATGCTCCACATTTTGCTAGCACAGAGCACTCCCTCTGTGCACCATCATCCCAACCACTCTCATGTCTGCAGGATGCAACCAGTTTTGAATGCTGCAAAATTTGTTTAGCACCCCATTCCCGTCGCCATTGCATATGCAGATCCGCCTCCGAGTTGCCTCCTCGCTGTATGCCAACTAAGCACTACACTTACTCAACCTTTCTCTGTGTGGCTAAGCGAATCCATTCCTCTTCCTCCCAATGATGCCCCTCCTCTTCATGAATGCTCGGCTACGATGGAGTGCCCAGGTACGAATGGCGACCAGCTTGCAACTACAACTCATGTTCTCCAATCCAAGCAGCGCCTTATATGATGCAGAGCTCGGGACTGCACTAGAACGCATGCATCCATCTGGCACACATTACCAAAACCAAGCGTTCCAATGACCTTCACAAGTATCGGTGGTGGTAGTGAGTTGGTACATTGTGGTGTGGGTGTTGGACGGCATTACGGAAGGGACGAAACGACACAGTCAATATCCTTTGCTATCTTCAACATGGCCTCACACTGGGACACACCTTTCGTGTCTCCAACATTGCTGGTAGGCATGCTGCACAGACTTGTGATCGCGTGCACTGCATGATGTGGCGTTAATTTCACGCTGTGTGCTGCACACTCACACCCACACGCACACATACGTGGATGTGGGCAGGAGTGAGTTAAGAGAGCAGCACAGCCACCGACAGCAGTACAGTCACCGAGCGGATAAGAGGAATTGTTACAATTGTCCAGTGCTCGTCAGCTCTCCGCGATTTTGTTGAATGAGTGTAGTCATCACCACATATGCGCCCTCTTCATAATCCCACTTTGCACAAACGTCTTCGTCCGCATCATCTCAGTCAGTTAGCTAATAAGTTGATTCTGTAGGTTTCTGTGTTCGTGATGGTAGAATTCACCCCTCGTCCGTCTCCACATCCACCGTCACCTCTACCCATAATGCTTCAAAAAGACACTGATGTGCACCTGCTACAGACAGCAGCCGGTGTGACAGCGTTGCGAGAAAGTAACACTTATCTCCATGCCCACATGATAATTACTGTTTGCCTGCATCAACCTCACACACGATCGGCTACCCTGACACCCTGTGGCACTCGTGTGAGGAGGGTCACTTGCTGCTCGCATAACCTCCACGAAAGAAGCCTCACGCACAACGTGGAACGAACAGACGCAATTATTGCAGACAACAGAGTTATTTGGTTGAGTTTTGCACTCTCATTGATTATGTTGGCTTAAGCGGACAAAAGTATGTTGCACATCTCCTTCAAATCGATGAATGGGAAGAGCAATGCGGTTTTAAAATGGTTTGTGGCGCCACCATCTCGCTGACCGATGCAACACATCCTGCTTCAATGTTCGCGCATTCGCACAAAGCCGTGGCATCACAATCCTACCTGCGCCATTCAGCTTCCTTACATGCTGTCGGCCAGCGTGCCTCTTTCCAACTCACATGAAGTCCGCTCACACCACCAGGATGACAATTCACTCGTCATCTTTGCTTTGCTGCACCACCACTCACGACACAATCTGCGTTACCCTACCTAACAGCAACACTGCAGGCATTAGAACTTGCTGACTGCAAATTTTCCCAACTATGTTTGGATGAGTAAAAGTTCCGACAAGGTGGTTAGTAAGTGGTTGCCCTATTTTCGCCAGCCTCTACTTCCCTCCATGCTCACCCAACCAAACACAGTAATCCAAATTGTGCACACGATGCCTACCGATAACAGGGCAGCAAAGGTGCTTTAGCACAGTGAAGTACAAGGCAATGGAGAAACGCCTCCACTGCTCCATTCACAGCTGAGGTGAGAGACCGTGGAGGGAACTATGAGTTCCTTGCGTTGACGT